TCAGTAAGATATAACTTTTTAAAGATTAGATATAAAAATTTATTAATTAAATTAACTTATAGGATTATATAAATTAACTAATCAAATTTAGCACTCTTGTACTATTTAAAAAATTTTAAGTTATTCTAGAAAAACTTTGTAATATATATAAGTAAATATTTTTAAAATATAATAATAGTTCAAAATTTTATTATAATAGATAAATTATTTTATTTATATTTTATAAAATTTTAATAACAATTAGTTGTAATTTAAAAAAGTTTTATAAGTAGTATATTTTAATTTTATATAAAAATTTCAAAATATCATATAGAACTATATAAAAATAATTTATATACTTTCTACTCTTAAAAATTTTGAATTAATATATATAATTTAAATAGCAAATTAAATATTATTTAAATAATATAATTATATATATAATTTAAAAATAAAATAAAAGTTTGTTAACTTAGTGAAGTGAATAAGTTTAAAACTTACTAATAGTAAAATTTAAATTTTTATTCATATTATAATAACTATTTTTAATAATTAAGTTAAGATATCTATTATTATAGACATACTAATATAATTGGCAAATCATGAGCTATTTGTGTAACTAGTTATACAGAAGAATACAAATCAATATTAGGCAGTACAAATTTAAGATGAGTCCTTATAACTATATAAATCTATAGAAATTAAAAAACAAAAAGTCTATTTGAGATGGTTTAAGTAAAAAAATAAGATAATTTTTTGATAATACTACTATAAAGACTTATCTTAAAAAATAGATACTAATATAAAGAAACTAAACAGACAAAAACTTTAGATAAAAGATACTACCAACTATGCTACTAGAATTGAACTAAAAAAAAAGAATATTAGACTAACATGATAAGCTAATAAACTGATTATAGTTCTATTAGACTGTTTGAATTGGAATTCTAAACACAAAAGCAAAATATACTAAAGTAATTTAGATATGTTATAAAATAATACTAAGTTTAGATAAACTCTATAAGAACATAGTAGTTTAATAACTAACTTTAATTACAAGTGTTAGTTTAGCTATAGCAATATTAGATCAACTATAAAATAAGTATACAAAAAGTTTCAAAAGATTTATTTTGAAAATAAAATAATTTTAAAGTTGAAATAAAGATTTAAGCATAATTTAATAAAGTTAATATAAGTTGCAGATTTAGAAGGTTTAAAATAAAACACTCAAGCAAGAATATAAATATGACAATTAGTAAAAAATTTTTAGATAAACTTCTTAAATAGGTAATATAAAAAAGTTACATATATAACTAATTGTATACTTTTCTTGTAGTATATAGAACATATTACTAAAAATGTTAATAAAAGTCAAAAGACCCAAGAGGTCACCCTTTAAAAAAAAAATAATAATAATAAAAATAAATATTATCAAAATAACAAATTAAATACAATAAATTTAATTTCAATATATGTAATTATTAAAGTTTTTTTTTATATAACTATAAGCAATATATATTTGTTAATTTCATATAAATTGTATATTTAAATTTAATTAATTTATGCAAATCAAAAATCAATTACAAAAAATATAATTTTATATTATGTCAATTTTTGATACGTATTAATTTCATATAAAATTACATAACAAATTTCAAAAATATGTAATTAATTTTATTAAAAAATATATAATTTTATGTATAATAAATTTAACATGATTTATTTCTAAAATATTAATTAATTTCGCGTGAATTATATGTTTAATTTTAAACTATAATTAATTACAAGTTTAATTTTAAAAAACAATAGTTCAAAATATCTATATTTCTCATATATTATATATTTAAATTCCAAATTAATACAATAACATTGATGAATTACGAAAATATTTAATTAATTTCAAAAAAATTATATTAATTCGCGAAAATTGCATATTAAAATTTATTTTTTAAATATATGAAGATATATTTAATTTACATTAATGATAAGCAACTGATTTATTGCATAATAGTTTTAAGTTCCGTTTGTCTAACAGATCAGAGTGGCTTGTAAATCACGGGACCGACAAATTTTTTTGACATGACTTGAAAGCAGTAGTTACATGTAAACAATACACAATATCAGTAGCGATTTCCTATCTGCTAGAAGCAAGCGGGCAGTTAAATGTAAAAACGAGTTAATCATAAAATTGAAACAGTTAAGGGTTTTGCAGAATTGAGAAAAGGGTAGAATCATAATTTAAAAAACCTCGTGATTTTGTGTATTCCGTAGTCTTAATAAATAGTACACGTTTCTCAACATTCTTATAAACTTAAAAATTCTCAAAGGATTAATGAGAACATAATAGACTTAATGTTGACTAAAGTACGCAATATACGTATCTTTAACTTACTATATCCTGGAATACGTGTATTAATAAACTTAAGACTTGTCAATGCTGTATTATGGTTTGTGTACGTACGTACGTATTCTACACACCATGTATTGTGGCTTGTGCAGGTGGCTTAGCGGATATATTTTCGATCCGTTGATTTGAATTTTACTTTACTGATTCGAAGATTCAGGTTTGAAAATGTTGGGATGAATCGAATCGATCGTTACACCAACAATCAATTAGTGTATGTACGCAGTAAGTCCAACGCATACAAATAGCTCATCAATCAAAACATTCCTTGGAACACCATCAAGGATATAGATATCCCGAATAATTAAGTCCTAATCTTACTACTTTATATATAGGCATTATTGCTATCGCTATTGGTGGAAGACTGATCCATTTGAATGCAAATTTTACTGATAGTAAGCGGGTAATGTTAAATATTGGATTAAAGGCATCAAAGAAATAATGGGTCTTTCATGTTCATGCAGGTTAAGCGTGTGGTTGAAGTAAGATTAGGATCTATATTTATTTATCATAATGAACAAAGTTAAATTACTATAGCAAAAGGAATAGAATTTACCGAAATTAATTTAAGAATGTACTAGTATTCAGAAGGGAATAGTAATCAGGTAGAATAGGATGTTAGATTCAATTCAATAGCTTATAATTTTTGCATTTTTAACACGAGTGCTTTATTGACTAGAATACAGATTTCAGTGATCTCTGTTAATGTATTTGGAATAAATAAAATAACCTAAAAATAATCCAAGTATACGATACCGAATATTCAGAGAAAGTACACATCAGGTAATAGATTTATTACCCTCGTATAGTGTACATAATACATGAGCCAATGTTCTCATAGTATTCTTAAAACAACATCCATTCATTATTATTTACTCGAATTATAAAAAATGTATTTGAATCTAAGCAGTATGATACGATATTTAAAAGAAATCGAATGCTGCCTTTATTAAGATCAAGTTCACTATATACATGTTTAAGAGCTAAAGTTGTGTACCCTTATGAATAAACGCAAAACCTATTCATCCAATATGAACACTTGATAGTTAATTGTCTGAATACTAGTCTTATAGTATATAAAAAGTATAGCGATTTCACAAATTTAACAGAGTACCAAGCTACAAGATAAGATGATGAATAAATGAAAGTAAAGCAGAAACAAAATAAAATAAAATAAATAATAAATAAACACTAACAGCATATATTGGTCAATTGATAAATAAAAACTTATCCAAGTTCAAGAGTTTACTTCATCTATCTAAATCTTGATACACACTTTATAGTTAACTACCTTTCAGTATCCACAAATGCTGATAGAATTTTTACTTAATTTCAAGGATAATGTAGAATTTCTTTATTTAAAACAAGAATACAAAGCCTAAGTGATATATTTTCATAGAGAACATTAGATCTCACTAATAATGTTCTCAAATAAGAGAATATTCTATGTTTTTCAATGTTCTCAAAAAAAAAAGTTTTCTGAGAACATTGATATCAACTTTTCAACACTGATTCCCAACCTATTATTTCTTTGATCCTTGAACAGTCACATTAAAATTGATTGTGACCGGCAATTCTACTTCATTACCGTCAATGTCGACTTTGATCTTTCCTTTGGGGACAGTTGCTGTCCAACCATAGTTACCAGTGCTATGCTTTTGAGGCTTGGCTGTCAAAGTGTACAAAGGTTCTTTAGGTGAACTATCTCCATTCTTTGGGGCTTCAGCGTTTGCGGGTTCCTTTTCCTCTTCACCTTCTTTAACTTTATTGTCGGTGCTTTGATTTCCTTCTTTTCCGATAAGTTGAGTGATTTCCACTTTAAGTTCTTGAGCGTTAGCTAAAAACGCTTTAGCAGGGGGAAGACTTGGCCCGTCGCCTTTCTATGCAAAAGTAATAAATGAATTACCATCAACTCAATCATAAACGTTTGACTTTCATATATGCATTATTGATATCCCTCAATGTAAAATATGTAGAGCGCGTTTTCGCCAGAGGTTAAGTAAAAACTAACCTCAGTCTTAGTTTTTTTGGTAGATTTCTTGGTAGTCGACGGACCACTCACTGAGCTCGTAGCAGCAGCTTTAGCCTCTTCTGCCTTAGTTTTCGCGGCACGTCTAGGATTTGTTTTACGCTCAACAGTCTCTTCTGTTTTTCTCTTACGTGTGGTCGTCTTTTTGTCTTCAGCAACTTCAGTAGTCATAGTTCCTGATATTTTTTAATCTATACAAACAACTGGAAAAATTATAAGGTACTCGACTTTGAAAATGTCGCTATGGGAAAATACAAATTTGTTTATTTTGTTGGGAGAAATGTATTTATTATAGGAAAGGGATGAATTGAATTGATATCTGAATGATCAAATATAGTTGATCAGCCGCCTGATCAATGTATTATTATATCCGCAGATACATATAACTGAGGTTTTGGATCTTATTGCATATACCGGAAATTTCCGGATAGAGTTCTATAATTTCTCTATTCAGAACATTCTTATGGTTCAAATACCTTTGACTTTTCGCTTGGACCAGCAAATCACTGGAATGTTTACTGCATTATTTCCCCCATAAAAGTAGTTGGCTCCGAATACTCCGTATTATGTGCAAAATTATATATTCATTTATCGAAGCTGCGGGCACAGAAAATTATCGAACATTGACAAACTGGAATTATGTCAAGTTGATTATAAATTATTATTATGTAGACATTTTTACGTCACCAACATGTGCCTGATACGTTGTTTTTACCTCTTTTTTTATATACAAATCAGAATAGATTGTGTATTAAATAGATTGTATTATAGTATCTGCTTTTTAGAAGTCTAGGCACTCTGTTATTTGTAAAATTTTTTTTTAATTCAAAACGTATTTGTATATAAAATACATATTTTGACTATTTTTAGATAAATTTATATAAACTGTTTTAAATTAAACATTAAAGTAAAAATTTAATTTTTTTTTGTGCATTATATAAAAATATTGCTTTAGATAAAATTTTATAATTTTGGTTCAAATTATACTAAATTATTTTTAAACTTTAATTCTAATTTTCTAAAATAAAATATAAAATTTCAACATTGCCAAAATGCATTATAGGTGTTTAATACTATAGTTGTTATACGTATTTCAAAAACTGTTTAATTAACTAACATCAGATATACTAAAAACTTTATGCTAATCTAAATTTGAATTTTTATATTTGGTTTATATCTTTTAAAGTTTAGCAAAAAAATATATAAATACAGTTAACTTTTATTAATATATATATTAATTTGTATTAGTTTAAATTAATATTAACTTAAATTACAAATTAAATTTTTATATATTAAAATTTATTTATATATATTAATTTTAGAAACTTTTAATTTATTATATAATACAAAATATTATATATATATTTATTTTACTATATAAAGATTATTAATTTTAGATAACAAAAAAATTTTATTATTTTTTTAATAATTTTTTAGTTATATTCTAAAACATCAATTTTTACTTGTAAATCTCTTAACCAAAAATTACAAAATATAAAGATATAAAAAAACACAAAAATGCAAAATAAACAATATTTAGAGTATTAAAAAAAACAAAGATTTATAAAATATAGTTAACCAAGTCAAAAAACAGAAAAAGAACTAGTATAGCAATAGACATTAGCAAAAAAACAAAAAATTTTTGATGAAATTGTAAAATTTTTTTAGTAAATTAGAAATTCTTACTGATCTTGTTTTTGCAAATCTATTAATTATACAGAATTAGAAAAGTAAACAACAAATATATGCAATAAAATAGTAAAACAAGAACATGTGAATATAAACAAAAATAAAATATATATCATATTAAGTATGTAAATATAAAAATATAAAAAAGTAGTACAAATAATAGGTAACATAATATAAACACAAATAGAAGAGTTAATAATATTAAAATTAATAAGAAAAGAGCAAATATAAAATCAAAGCAAGTAAATAGCAGAGAGTTAAAATTAAAATTAGCAAACAGAGACAACTTATTTAATATTAGAAATGTTGTAACAGTAGTATTATAAAAACCTGATTTGATAGAAATAGTAATATTATGAAAAATATATAAAATAATAATTAAAATTAATATAAGTAATTTAAGTAGTATAGAGAAATAAACAAAAAAGCTCAATAAAATAAGTTCAATTCTATTAGCAATTAAAACTATAAAAGTACAAAAAAACAAGTATTTAAAAAAAACTATATTAAAAATTAGAAAATCTACTGCAGAAAGATCAAATAAATAAAATAAATAAACAATAATACAAGAAAAAAACTCAGATTTAAACAAAAAATCTATAATATATATAAAGACTTAATTATAAAAAAAAGTTTAAGAAAAATAATTCAAATATAAAAAATTAAAAAAATAAAAATATATACGAAAAACTGTAATTATAACAATTAGGCCTAATATACAAAAAGGACTACAGTATTTTTCACAACTATATGAGCTAAGCTTAAAATGGTGAATGACTTTGCAGAAACCTATTACTCATGTTTAAATTCTAACTCCTTCCTTAACTTCAAGAATTCTTCTTGTTACAATATCTTTCTAATTTACTATAATCTTCTGACTCTATCATCTAATCAAGTACTTCTAAATTTTCTTTAATATCTAAAAAATAATTTATTTAATAAACTATTTAAAATTTCTATCAATACTACACTTACTGAAACACATGTTTATTAAAATTTAAACAATAATATAATATCAAATCACGTACTTTTTTCTAAATTATTTTATTATTAATACTATAACCTATTTATTAAATCATATCAACAATTTTCAATTCCTAATTTATTAACAGATTCTGATTTCTTTAATACTAACAATCTTAATATCACAAATCTCATCTCTTCTATATCATACTCAACTGATACTATTTTAATTAATAATATTTCTTTTCTTCAAACATTATTCATACTTATAATTTCAATTTCTATAAAAATTGATTCTCTAAATATTAACAGTTTATTTCAATATTCAAAAAAGAACTTACTCATTGATATTATTAACCAACATAACTTTGATATCTTCAGATTATTAGAAACTCATCTTAGTTCTAAAGAAGGAAAATTTTTTAACCAAAATCTTCAAAATCATAACAGCTTCTGGAGTTCTTATAAAAATTTTCATCAAGCTAATGTTAGAATTTTTATATATAAAAGAATCTCTAAATACATTACTAGAACACATAATTATAATAGTTATATAATTGGCTTAGATCTATATTTTAAACACAACTTTATCTGCATTCTTCAAATATACCTTCCTACTTCAAAGAAAAAACAACTATGTATTAAAATTTAAGAACAAATTATCCTATTTTATAACAATTTTAATTATTAACTTATAATATTTGATGATTTCAACAGTATTTCAAATCCTCATCAAGATAGAAACCTTTCAAAAAATACTTCTATTCCAGAATTTCAAATCCTCAAATACTTAATTAGTTATCAATTTAAAGATATATATTGATTTTTCTTCTCTACAATATTGAATTTTACATTTTCTTGCTCAACCTCTAATAGCAGAATTGACCAAATATAGACAAATTTAAATATATCTCAAATTAAATACACTGATATCCTTGAGGATATCTTATCTGAATCAGATTATAAATTATTATTCTTGAAATTTTTATAAATATTAACAAAACAAAACCCTCTAAATAATATAAAAGAAAAAACTTCCTTTGAAAATTCTACTCAAAGGAAAATATTAAAAATTACTTAAATCAAATATCACAAATTTTTGTTAATTACAAAACTAAATATCTAACATTTCAAATCAAAATGAACTCAATATAATTTGGAATAAAATACTTAAAGCATTTATTAAAGCTGTTTTAAAAAATATTTCATATAAAACATTAAAACAATTCAAGAAATTAAAGATAACAAACCTTCTAAATGACATGTACTCTTTTACAGATATTAACAAATATAATATTTAAAAAACTATTTATAATTATTCAACTTTTATAATCTTCTTTTTGAATACAAAACTAAATATTCTAAAAATCTTATTAATGAACCACAAACCTCTAATAATTTATACTCTTTAATCAAACAAGAATTTAATAAAATTAAATTAGTACTTAATACCTTCTACCAATAACAAATCCAAAAAGAAATTTAACAAAAAATCAAAAATTGCAACCAACTTTTCTAATTACAACCTAAAAAATAATTCAAAAACATTCTTGAAAAATATAATAATATATATATTGACAAACTTCTAATAAACAACTCTTTATTAATAGAAGAAGATCATATTAAACAAGCTATTTATACTCATTTTACTGAATACTTTAATAAAAAATTTCTTTAACAAATTCAACCTACATCTGATTACTACCAACTATACCAACCTTATTCTAAACTTGAAATATATTACCAAAACTTATTTAACAATATCTCTGATGATGAATAACAAAGTACTATTCAGAATCTTTCTTTTCAAAAAGCTGCAAGTCCTTTTAAAACAAACTATAAACATATTAAATATATAGGTTCTATTGGTCAAATTTCTCTCAAATTATTTATCAACAAATGTTTTTAACTTCAAAAAATTCTATCGAATTGAAAAACATCTAATATTTTCCTTATTTTAAAAAAATCCTCATGGAATTTTATACTTAATCAAGTTCACCCAATCTTAATTATAGAGCTAATAAAAAAATGCTTTACTAAAATCTTTATATAAAGACTAAATTATATTATTAACTCTAATAAACTTTTTTCTAATCTTAACTACACTGTTACTAAAAACTCTTCAATACATATACCTATTCAGATCCTTAATAATACTATTGAATACTACAAACATTTTAACAAAGAAGCTTGGATAATGTTTCAAGACATGTTCAAAGTCTTTGATAAAATCAACATATCTCAATTACAGAATACTTGCAAAAGAATTGGTATTTTTTTAAAAAGAATTCAATTTATTATTGAACTACATATAGATTGACAAGCAAAAATAATTTCTGTACATGATTTTACATCACTTGTTTATATCAAATCAGATATTGAATAAGGTAAAACATATTCTTCTCTTCTTTGGAAAATTTATTATGATCCAATTTTGACTTATATACATAATAAATATAACAATCATTTATTTAAAATTACCTTCTCTTCACTATTTGAGATTATTTTCAATATATCAT